TCCTCCTCCTCCTCCTCCTCCTCCCCCTCCTCCTCCTCCTCGGGCCGCGCGGCGCCGCCCCGCCGGCCAGGGCGGCGGCGCCGCCGGCTTCACGCAGCCCGCGGCCGGGCAGTCCGCCGGCGGCTTCGCGCCGCAGTCGGACTACGGGCAGCAGCCCGCGTGCTCCCGCCCATGTGCGGCCTCGCGAGGGGTAGGGGGCCACATGCGAAACCTACCCCTACCCCCCACGATTTCTGAGGGGGAGGAGGAGGCCGCCTTCCGCTCGACGAGGATAAGGGGGAGGAGGGGGAGGAGCAGGAGGAGGAGGAGGAGGAAGAGGAGGAGGAGGAGGAAGCCTAGGGTATAGGACGAGGGTCACGGGGGGGAGAAGAAGGCGGAGGGCGACGGCGAGCTGGGCGGGAGATGCGCGCCCCCACCTCGCGCCAGGGCATGGACGGGGCACACCAAAAGGCAGGGGGTCCTCCCTGCAGCGATCCGCTGGCATCGTGGTGACACGCACGGCGCGGCGAGGTTTTTGGCCACTGTCGGCCTCGGAGGGCCTCACTGGGCCTCAGGACCGTCAAGTAGCGACTCGGGATGAAAACCATGTCTGCGGGGTCCGCGCCGTGGAAAAAAGCACGAAGGGGAGGTCTGGGTCCTCCTTGGAGATCTGGATCCTCCTTCCCCGCGCCTCCAGCGTCTCGAACAAGTCGCGCAAGAGGTATGGATTCTCGGCGTCCGCGGCCGCGGGGGCCGTCGACAAAACGATTGGGGATCAAAAAGCTTGCCCCGGTGAAGAGGTGGAACTATCCAGTTGCGGCGATGTGTCGGAGGTATGGGTCCAGGCAGCCCAGAAAAGGCCAGAGAAGACGGGGTCGGAGGGTCGCGCCGAATCGCCGATGCATGCGGCGCGATCTTCAGCTCGATGTTCTGCCCGACGTCGCTGGTGCATGGCCGATACATCGCCGACATAGTGCGATCTTCCGACACCATGTATTGCAGATTTATCGGGTGGAGTTCCAGGCTTGCTTCAAGAGGTCCAGGTTTGCTTCATCGGGCTGCGTTGGGTGGAAGAGTGAGATTTGGGCGGCCTCGAAACCACCAACCCTCTGCCCCATTCGCGGAGCTCGGAGCTGATGGCCAGTGTGGTATCCAGAGACGGAGACTGCGGTTGTCAGCCTCCTCCTTGGTCATCATCCTCCATTCCCCTCTTAAAGTCAAAACGGTGGAATAAGGTCTACTTTGATTTTGATTTTGGGGTGGTCTCTATGCTCCTTGGGCTCTTCAATTGGTTTTCCTTTGGCGCTCTTCGCGCACGTAGGCGAAATTGCGACACCAGAGGAGAGGTGATCTTGATGCCTATGACAGAGCTTCGGCTGTACTCACTCCTCTTTCCCCGACCCCACTCCGCCTCGCTCTTCTTCCTCCATTCCTTGCCCCCCCCTCTCTCTTACCCGTCTTCAGGTATCCCACAGTATCTAACCTCTCGTATGTTGCCCCATCTTCCCCGCTCAGCCCCGCTCAGCCCCGCTCAACCCCGCTCAATCCGGCTGTCAACTTAAAACTGTAAAACTTGTGATACATCTCTTCAACCATAGCAGGATGTTCAATCATAGTCGATGTCGTAGCGGTAGCAGTCGTATAACAGACATACATTGTTGTGATGGTTATGTTGTGCCATGGTCGTTCGATTATGTTCTGTTTTGCCATGTCATGGTATTTCTTTTCCAATGCGAAACAGCGTATGACCCTCGTCCCTCATTCCCAATGTGTCTTTGTTGTCCTCCTGCCTCCCCCCATCCATACTCCCTCGTCCGTTCTCCCACTCCCTCCACCCTCACCTTGTGGCACATCCTCCTTCCTCCTGCGCGTCCCCGCCCCGCCCTCTGCCTGAACCAGCGAGTGAATCATGATCAATGGTACAGTCCGCCGGCATGCTCCTCGTCCTCCCCCTTCCCTCCTGGCACAACGCCTCCCCACCTGCCTCTCCCCCCTCCTCCCCTCTGCTCCCCCTTCCCGTTGGCGCGGCATCGCGGGTCGGGGCAGCGGGGCTCCAGGATCGCGGGCCGACGACCGAGGAGCCGGGGCCGAGGATCCGAGATCGAGGGTCGAGGCTTGAGGATCACCTCCCCTGCCCTGCCTTCGCCCCTGCCTCCCCCCTCAAAAACTCCAAGTAGCCCCCCCCCCTCGCTCGCCCCCTTCGCCTCTGCCTCC